GTGGGCTGGAAGACCGGATAGGTTTTTTCCACCCTTAATTTCTATGATTCATTGTGTGTCATATTTCACAATACTTAAAAGCACTCCTCCATCCACAGCTTTTTGCAGACCCGTCTGCTGCTTCTTGGCCGTGATTTTCACTGCCTGTTTCAGAACAGGACTTGACGAGGACGCTTTCCACTGACGACGACATCAGGAGTTTCCCTGTCACACCCAACTGAAGAGTTCAGATAAGACTCAGCACGGAGGCGTGGTGGGGAACTAACTGGTACAGTAACAAAGGAAACATAAGCCTGTAATTTTGCATGAGCACTCATGGCAAAGTGCATGCTAGACTTTAGACCTGATTCTCGTTTACACTCAACCCACTTTACGCTGCTCTGGCAATGTGAAGGGGCCTTAATGTGGGAGTCAGTTGTATTTGCATCCATTTTCAGGCCCCTTTCTATGACTAGAATGTTGCAAAGTGGCCCTTATGTAAATGAGAATCGGAGGCGTTATCTCTGGTGAACAGCTTGCTGGATCTCTCCCAGCAGCTTTGCGATACTTCTCTGCCTATGCTTTTGTTCTGTCTGAACAGTTCTAACCCAGGAAAATACAGGGCAGTGACCTCTTTTAATGTTTGACAAAGCTCTAGGTATCCAACAAACAGTAACAGAGGACGAGGCTTGAAACGTCAGGAGCTTCTTTTCCTTAATGTGAATAAACATTTTCTGGAACTGCAGCGTCAGGATGTCATATCCATTATCAATATTTCTCAGGAATAAAACAGACCGTTCCTGCTGTCATTGAAGTCAATGGCAACTTCCACTGACTTCAGTGGAAGCAAGATAATACTACCCAGCTGTTCTATAAAAATGTTCAGCAGTAGATTCCAAAGAACTTTACAAAGGAGGTCAGTTTGATTGTTGGGAAACTGAGGCAGGGGCAGGTGACATAATGTGCCCAAGGTCACCCAGCAGGCCAGTACCAGAGCCAGGAATAGGATCCAGATCTCCCCATACCCCCAGTGCTCTATCCACTAGGTCATATTGCCTCATGTTGATATGCTGCAATGCTAAATTTGGGTCTCAAATGCATGAAGTGTCCTATGACAAGGCACTGCTGACAGCTACAGGTCCCAGCTTCCAGAGGCTGGAAACAACCTGAAGTGATTTAAGTCCTTCCTCTCAAACCCAGTCCAGAGACTAATTAAGGTCAGCTGTTCTTCCAGAACCCTCACCTGTGGAGTCCCACCAGGGTCAGTTCTGTCCCTGTTCTTATTCAGCATCTAAAGGAAGCCTCTAGGGAGCTATTTGACACCCTCCCTGAGGCTAGCACCTGGGCAAAGAGCAGCTGACTAAAAACGAGCTCAGGCAAGCTGGGAGTGATGCTGGTACGAAGTGAGAAGCAGATGGAAGAACCCTCCTGCATAGCATCTAAGGGGGCTAAAGGGCACTGTAGGCCAACAAACGCAGCCATAACAAGCACCAGTGGCTGGAAGTTAAAGCCAGACAAATTCAAATTAGAAATAAGGCACAATTTTTTCACAGTGAAGGTGACAATATTGGAACAAGCTCCCAAGGGAAGTGGTGGATTCTCCAACTCACAATGTCTTCAAATCAAAACTGGATACCTTTCTGGGAGAGATGCTTTAGCCAAACCCACGTTACTGGGCTCAATGCAGAATAACTGGATGAAATTACATGGTCTGTATAATGTAGGAAGTCAGACTAGATTATCTAATGGTTCCTTTGAGACTTAAATCTCCGACTCTCCTTCAGATTGTTGGGGGAAGTGCTAATCAAGAAATTACTTCTACAGACTGAGAATGGAAAGAGATATTATTTCTGTTTTTTAAATAGGAAACACTTAGATACTTCCATGATAGTGGCTTTATATTACTTAGATTAAATAGCGGTGTGTTTTCAGGGAGCCGTGGTTTGTGTTTATCCATCAAACAATAGCATTTCTCTCCATTTGTGTTGAGGATTTTGACATTGGTGATATCTTCCCTGTTAAAAATATAAAGAAATATACTGGTGGGTAGTTTGGTACTCATAATTCTGAGGAAACAGGACTCATATCCAGCTTCTCGTCCACTGTAACCCCTAGGTCCTTTTCTGCAGAACTGCTGCCTAGCCATTCGGTCCCTAGTCTGTAGCAGTGCATGGGATTCTTCCATCCTAAGTGCAGGATTCTGCACTTGTCCTTGTTGAACCTCATCAGATTTCTTTTGGCCCAATCCTCAAATTTGTCTAGGTCCCTCTGTATCCTATCCCTACCATTCCTATGGCTTAAATGCATTTTTGATTGTCCCCAGCTTACCGAGCAATCTGGATCACTTTGACCAGGGCTCATTATTTACTACAATAATTTTTGCAAACTTGATCAGCAGCACTTTATAAAGTGGTCAGCTTTTAAGCTTTATTTCCTCTAAGCTTTAAAGAGTTTGCAGAGAAGCAATGGATATTAATGGAAATAACTTTCTACATAATATTCCATATTAGATTAGTTAAATAACACTCTGCAGCGCAATAAGAGCTTTTCTATTTTCTTGCTGATTCTGCTGCTTTGGTCTTGATTCTGTAAAAGGCTTAAAGGCATACTCAGTTTTAGGCACACATGCATAGGTTAAAGCTTAGCACATGGTTAAGTGTTTTGCTGGATCAATGCCTTTGTGTCTGAGGAGCTCAACTTGAACAGCTGCTGCACTGTGCAGAGTAAGAGGAATCATCTAGTTTTTTAAATGGGCATTATTTGGTTAAGAAATATTCTGCTCTTGGTCAGCCAAATGCTGAGGGCTCATTCAGTGCCATGTGATATTACTGATCTTTTATCAGTGTTACAATTTCAGTGGTTCAAATCAAGCATTAAGCCTAACTCCACTTTCTCCCAAATAGATTGTTTAAGGGGACACTCAGAAGTGTTAATTTGGTCCAAAATGCAAATTTTGAATAAAAGAAAAACAACAAGTTTTTTACCAAGTCAGAGACCAACAAAAACAATTCCTAAAGGGTTTTTGTAGGTGTGTGTTTAAAACGTTACATAGGGCAACAGGGAAACCCATTCCTTTGATGTAATTGCAAGCCAGCCATTGCAGAATTGTTATAAAGCATGAGACCCTGGAAGTATAATGGACTGGTATCAAAATATAAACTGAAGTAGTACAGATACTCAAACCACTTGTTTCAAATCCTGCAACAGGGCTTCATGCAGGAGCAGCAGTGCATCCATGCAGATCTAATTGTATGGTCAGGGCTGATGTTAGCCACATCGGTGAGCTGATCCAGACTTTCTTTAAATGTTGGGGGTCAGTCTAATGAGACAATTCAATTAACAGTAGAATACCAACGGAGGAAAAATCACTTTTGTAGTGGTAATGAGAGTGGCCTATTTCAAACAGTTGGCAAGAACGTGTGAGGTTTCAGATTTCAGAGTAGCAGCCGTGTTAGTCTGTATCCGCAAAAAGAACAGGAGTACTTGTGGCACCTTAGAGACTAACAAATTTATTAGAGCATAAGCTTTCGTGGGCTACAACGTGTGAGTAACAGTAGGGGGAAATTAGTATGGGGAAATAAGTTTTCCTCCCTTGGTATACTACTGTTAATTGAATTGTCTCATTAGACTGACCCCCCACTTAGTAAGGCAACTCCCATCTTTTCATGTAGTGTGTATTTATACCTGCTACTGTATTTTCCACTTCATGCATCTGATGAAGTGGGTTCTAGCCCACGAAAGCTTATGCCCAAATAAATTTGTTAGTCTCTAAGGTGCCACAAGGACTTCTCATTGTTTTTGCTGATACAGACTAACACGGCTACCCCTCTGAAACCTGTTTAAATGTGTGGATTGTCATTTTCAGCCTATAGGTTAGTCACCAACTGTCACGTGTTGTTATTGCTGCACTCTTATTAGTGGACTGAAAACAGGAGAATAGTGAAGAGGAACTCACAAGTAGGGAACTTTCTAGGTTGTATTTTCAGCCAAATAAAAGTTTTCACTAAAATCCATAAAACTTTCAGGACTGCCAAACAGTTTCACAAATACTCCCGTAGCTATCTGAATACTCTTGAAGGAGTAATATTACCCCCTCAAATCCTAATGAACCTCATCTTTTATCAAGAAAATATTCACAAATCCGTATTTTTGCTGTTCCAACAGCTTTACTGACTGATCTATTTTCTCTGTCTGAGCGAAGAGAAATGCAAAGAACAAATAACTATAGATTCCTACATTTCAAAGCCAGAAGGGATCATTGTGATCATCTAGTCTGACCTCCTGTATAACACAGGCCACAGAACGTCCCTGAAATAATTCCTGCTTGAACCAGAGCATAATTAACCTAAATATTGAAATGTAAAGTACAGTTTTAAAAATCCTTCAGTGTTAGAAATCTAAGCCTTATTTGTAACAAATAAAGACATTGGTATTTTTTAAAATATGGTGTTTAACCTCTTCCCCTTTAAACAATTATTCATTAAAAAGTTTTTCTACTTTATTCTTGTATGCTTTAGAGATTGTAAAACAGGATCAAGGGGTGCTTCTTAGGACTTAGTAAAAACCAATTCTCTGTGCCAAGCTAGTCCTAGTGCTAAGGGTTAAGTGGTTTCTCATACTTCATACCAGATAAAGGTTTTTCCCCCCTTTTTTAATTAGAGTAATTTATAACTTGGTGAAATGACTAAGTGCTACTGCATTTTGGAGTTGATAGCTACATGAACCAGATTTCCAAACTGCTGTTTTCCCTTTTTTTTTTTTTTTTTTTTTTAAGTACCATACTGACAACATTATCTATTACTAGAAAATGACTAGAAGAGAAACTCTGCCCTACAAATTATATGAAACATGTAAGTCACCCAGCTTGCTTTAGCATTTAATAACATTTCATACCCAGGAGCAGCCTGTGGAATAGGAATCAACTAACTGAACCCTATTACACCCCTCCCCTGCTGGGTGTGACACTTGGGCCAGTCTCTCTTCTTGGCAGTATCATCCAGCCCCATTGAAGGCAAACAGCAAACCTCTCTCTTTATCAAGCCCTTGCAGCCTTGAGCACTCTCACTATGCCTTCAGCCTTTGCTACCAACATGAGGTTCAAATTCTCTATCCTGGCGATTTTTCTGGAGGTGTTAATTATCATTTTATTTGGGATATTTGTAAGATATGAAAACAACCAGCCCATCAAAAAGGATAAACTATTACTATATCCATGTAAGTATTATTGTTTGTATAGCAGGGTAAGATTTGGAGAAGCTGAGGTTGCAATAGTCCTTTGAGTGATCACTAGTATTGTGCAGGAATTCAGGCTCATCTGTTAAAATGAATTGTATTGCTGCTTATCAACCCTTCTGTTCTGTTTATTCTATAACTAACGGCACCAGGGATTGGGCAGGGTATGCAATTACCACTAACCAGAATTCTAGCCCTGGTTTGAAGGGTTCCACTTGCCGAATCATGGCATTTGGGAAAGTTATAACCTACAATCCTTATGCATTTTTGTTTGTTACGCTGTAAAAGTTTGAAGCTGTTTTGGAGGTTCTTTTGCCTGGACAATAATATTGCTGTTTGCCTTCTATTTCTCTTCTCACAAAGAGCTGATCCATGGGAATGAAATAATAGCAAGGACACTTTACAAATGGGGATCGTGTGATTTGCTGACATCAATTGAGATATTATTTTCTGAAACTGCAATCGTAAATGCTTATTTTTGACTAAAAGGGCCTTAGTGTGGTAAATGTTAGTAGGCATCATTCTTGATGCATTATTTCAACTTGTCTTTTAGTGACTGTTACAGGAAGGACAGAACTATGGGCTCTTTTCATTGATTCCTCTCTATGAGTCATGTGCTGCTAATTTGCCGCTCATATAGTAAATGGTACATTCTCCATGTGGGGGAGCTGGGAAAACAGTACATTATTCAGATGTGAATTGACCAACATGGAGGGTCAAAGTCAGCTACATTGGGGCAACCCTAATGAAGTCAAGGCAGCAGCGTCACCGAGAGAAAAATTTTGCCCTGAGCCCTGAGTATTCTCCTTGGAATAGAAATACAGGAGTTTCCGTCCTAGAGCAGAGCAATTGTCCATCTCGTTCAGTCTCCCATCTCTTATCTAAATGTATATCAAGTGTTTTTAACGAACCCATCACTGATATCTAAGCGTCACTGATATCTAAGCACCAGGGGCCTGATCCAAAGAACACTGAAGTCTGAGAGTCTTTCCATTGACTTCAAGGGGCCCATGAAATCTCAGTGCCTGCAGCTAAGCACCTAATCCTGAACTGTACTGAACACAGGACCCAGGGGTGGAAAAAAGTGGTGTTATACCACCTGGGTCCTCTCCCAATTCTCGGGGCTGCCAGCAGGCCCGGCTCCAGGCACCAGCCAAGCAAGCTCTTGCTTGGGGCGGCAGATTCTAAGGGGCGGCATTCCGTCCAATCCTAGGGTGGCACGGCTGTCCTATTTTTTTTTTTTTTTTTTGCTTTGCCTCCGGGTCCAGCTTCCCTGCTCCCAGGGTTTTGGGGTTTTTTTTGCTTTGCCTCCGGGTCCGGCTGCCCTGCACCCAGGGGCAGGGCCTGCTCCAGCCCAGCAAGCAGGTGCTTGAGGCGGCCAACGGAGAGGGGCGGCACGTCCGGATCTTCAGCAGCGGGTCCCTCACTCCCTCTCGGAGCGAAGTACCAGCTGCCGAATTGCCGCCGAAGACTGAAGCGGCAGCAGTAGAGCAGATCGCGATCGCGGCTTTTTTTTTTTCCTTTTTGCTGCTTGGGGCGGCAAAAACCCTGGAGCCGGCCCTGGCTGCCAGGGTCTTGCTTGGACCCTACCGTCAATTATGGCAGTTCTGAGGCTGCTCCGCTTTATATAGGCTGGTAACTCACCCAAAAAATGCTGTTACGTCCACCAGGGATTGCCAGAGTTCAGTAGGACTCCAGCCATACTTCGTCTCCCTGGCAGGCCCCGGCATGCTCCATACAGTGGGAGGCCTGAAGGAGATAGTGTAGAGCCAGGAATCCCCAGCAACCCATTCTAGGCTGCTTTATGGTCCCTTTGCACTGCCAGAGTGATTTGGGTTAAATGTTACCGTTCTGATTTGATATTGTTCAACTCTCACCTTGCACAGTATAAATGACAGTACAAGGCCGTGGTGAATCAGACATACTACCATGTAACACATGTGCTCATATACTGTACTATAGAATTGGATTTTAATTGTACACACAGATTTAGTATATTATGTAAAAACTCTTGTATGGATTTTCCGTACAAGTTATAAGACTACTCAGCATTATCCTAATGCCTTTCTTCTGCGGATCTCTAAAGTACCTTATAAAGAAAAGTGGAAGCAGACCAAGGGCAAGTGACTCATGCAAAGTCACACAGAGAGGCAATGGCAGAGTGGGGTGAAAACCCCGATTGCCTGACTCCATGCTTCCTCTCCAATATGCCTAATGGCCAGGGAATGTAACTTCCGATTTGCACACTATATTGGTCAGAACTTCAAATGAGCGACGTGTGAAAAGCCTGTAAGCCCTGGGTCTTAGGAAGCTTGTTACTTGTGAAGGAGAAAACTGCAGTAGAAGAGCACTGCTGCAAACTTAGGGGGATTGTGTCAAGTTGAAAATTATAGTAACCTACCTCCAGCTAGAACCACAGGGAGTAACATTATTGTCATTATTAATCATTAGTGTCATCTATCCTTTTGTAGCACCTACAAAGGGGCTTGGCACATCCTAGAAAACACAAAGCAGATAATTTTCTGCCTCAGAGAGCTCACACACGAGGTGAGTTAGTATTACAGTTAGCCCCTTCTCCCTCCCCCGCCAATATTTTTTGGCTAAGCGTATTTGTTGAATCTGGCTTTAAACTTAGACTGCAAGCTCTTCAGGATAGGGACAGAATCTCACTACCTATGTAAGCACCTAGCACAATGGGGCCTTGATATGCTTTAGGGCTTCTAGACTAGTTTAATATAGATATTAATCAGATCTGCTAGTGTGAACTGCTGCACGTGTCTGGAATCCCGTTGAATCTGCCTCAGGATGTAACGTAGAATAAGATATTATGGATCTTTAATTACCGTATATACTTGAGCATAAGCTAGTTTGTTTATAAGCCAACCCCCCCAAGATGGATAAGTAAAAATGGCAAATTTTTATGACCCATTCATAAGCCGACCCTATAATTTAGGGGTCGGCAAACTTTGGTTCCCGGGCCATCGGGATAAGCCGCTGGCGGGCCGAGAAGGTTTGTTTACCTCGAGCATCTGCAGGCACGGAGGTAAACATAAGTAAACAAAGTATCCTGGCCTGCCAGAGGCTTACCCTGACGGGCTAGGACAACAACTCGTAGGGAAATTCGGGGGGGGGTGGGGGGAGAAGCTGGGGCTCACAGGACTAACCCCTGTGACCACCCCCCACATGACCCCACCCCTAGCCCAGGACCCCCACACTCTCCCCATCCCATCCCTTCCCACCTTAGCTGGGGCAGGCCAGGTGAGGATGTCTCTGGCTTGGCTGGAGCTGCTCTGGCAGGCCAGGCAGCACGGCTGCAGCATGTTCCAGCGGGCTGGGCGGCACGGCTGCAGCATGCACTGGCAGGCCGGGCGGCGTGGCCACAGCCTGCTCTAGGGAGCAGGGCCGAGCAGCACGGCTGCAGCCTGCCAGCCCCAGAGCTGCAGCTGCCTCAGAGGCTGGGGGGAGAGCAGCCTGGCCAGAAGCGGAGAGACTCTGGCCCCGCCTCTTCCCTTCTGGCTGTGCTGCCTCTCCTTGCTCCCTCTGTTGGGGGGCGGGGCTGTGTCCCGCTTCTCCCTCTCTATACCTGTTCATAACCCGACCCCCTTCTCTGATGTTTCCCTTTTTTACTAAAAAAAATTGTCTTACAAACAAGTATATACGGCCTAAACTGAGGGAGCACGTATGGTTCGGTTGGCTCAAACATTCTGTTTTCCTGTTGTGTTTGGTTTTATACATTAAAGCACAGACATGCTCATTTCTGTAAGTGATGCCACAGAAGTGGAATTTCAGAAGTGATGGGAATGAGGTGACAGTGGAGGCTTGTCTAATTGATTTTGGGATGGTGTTCCAAGTATAAGAGCTTGCAGAGAAGGAGGAGGGGACAAAGGGGCTATCAAGTCTGGCATCCTAGATGACACGGAGAGGATGTAGGAGTGGAGGAAGGACATGAAAGCAGGGCAGGCCCATGACATTGGCAGAGGCCCCATGACGTAGGGTGTTGAAAGCAAGGATAAGAAGTGTGAAAGTCTCCATAGTGCTGAGTGCTATAGAAACTCTTCCTACAGCTCCTAGCAGAACCCCTTTGGCTGGGGGCTGGAATTGGGGCAGCACATGCAGCTGCCCTACACCAGGGGAATTTTCCCCCAGCTATTTGCAGCACCTTTATGGCCTTTGTATGCTGTTGAGCAGAGAATAGGGGCCTAACTCTACTTTAAAGCCTCTAGGACAGAAACTCAGCAGGTGTAAATTCGCTTGGCTGTGTTGACACCTGTATTTATGCAACACTGTTCTCTCCTTAGTCTCAGCTGAAGTCACTATTAGTTATTTTACACCCCAGAGAATCTCTATGGGACTGACACATTTCCTGCACGGAGATCAACAGTCATGCAGAGCGACCCGGCAGTGGAACTGCTTAATCAGCATTGGGCTGCACTGGCAGAATTGTGTGTGGTGGCTTTGAACAGCACCTGCCTGTCTCACGTCTTTCTCAAGATACTGCTCACAAGCTCTGTATTTCACAAGCCCCTTAGTATCCCTCCAAAAAGTACAGGGCCCTGTACATACCCCAGATGAAGTTCTACATGAAAGAAATGGGCCAGAAGTATGGGCTGGTGTGGGTCAGCTTAGCACCATTGACTTTTTGGGGGTGTTGGCCCCTATCAGAGGCTTGATGAAACAGTGGTCCAGCCCAGTCTGGTTTTAAATTATGCAGACCCTGGGCTTCCTACACATCTCCAAGGGGAGGAACCAAAGAAGGGCAGTGTTGAGGTGGGGACTGCCCCGGAATCTCTCAGACCTGCCAATCATTGCAATGGCCGTGTCTGCACTAGGAAAATGGGTAGTGTTTCAAACACATATTAATTAACTCCTTTGAATGATTAATTTAATTAGTAGTCAATATGCTTATTTAACATTAACACATTTTAATGAATAAATTTTAGCAGTGGGGGCAATTAACCATTGGAACAATTACCCGGGGATGTGGTAGTGTCACCATCACTTGGAAGCTTCAAATCAAGACAGGATGTCTTTCTCAAAGGGCTGTTTTTATGAGGGACATGATTACTGCCCTTGCTGTTTCTCAGGGAATGTACATGGCTAGGTTGACTGACAGTAGAAGAAATAAGCATTCAATCGTGTTGTGATGCAACTGTCCGCTGCAATGTGTCAAATTCATGTGTGATGTAACTATTGAAGTCAATGGAGTTATACCAAGGGTTAAGTCCACTCTATCTTCTTACACCTGCAGTGAGTTTGACCAAGAGATATGGAGAGCTGCATCACAACATGTTTAAATACTTACTCGTAGAGAAGCTTCACATTCATTTCTGTGGAAGCAGAGCAAATAGGCTGTTTCTGTATAAAAGCCACGATAGGTGTTTTCATACAGCTTTTACAGATTTATCCTCTGTACAGATTTCATGGAATGGCTTTGCAAGGTTCATAACACTTCTTAAATTCTGTGCATTGTTTTATGCTTACAATTTCAGGCCCTGATCCCACAAGCTGTTGGTTGCAGGGGTGGAGAATTGACAATAATAAAATATAATAATAATAATTAGTAATATCTGCAGAGCAGCTATAAACTTTTTTTTCCTATTGATTTTGACCCTTGCTTCTCCAAATGAGGGGGAAACAGGAACTGTCACTTCATTTGATTATCCGGGAATATCATTCTGGCATGAATCCAGAACCCATCAACTTACTTTTGTCTCTTTCATTCAAAAGAAAAGGTCAGTGGCCATCTGTGCCTGAGCCCTTCTGGGCTGTTGTACTCCCTGAATCTGGGGAGAATTATTGCTTGTGGTGGTTTGCTCTGAAAGATCCTGGTAATGTCATTTTAACTGAGGGATTAAGATCAGATCAGGGAGGTCTCTGGTGCTGTGTGAGGTGTTTAATTCACTGCTAATACTGGCTACCTGGAGGCCCCTGCTAGATTTTCTATAAACAAGTGGGGGGTGTTTCTCTAGGCTTGTTATTCAGCTGTGGAAGTTTCCACTGGAGAATGGGCCTGAAATTGTAGCTGCAGAAGCACAGCCAAGTATATGCAAAGAGTAGGTAGGATGCCTGCTCTGTCTTTGCAGTGGGATATTTTGGAGATGGAAATCAGCTGGAACTGTTTGGCCGAAGCACTTGGTGAAATTCTATGGCCAGTGCTGGGCAGAAGGTCAGACCAGATGATCATAATAAAGGTCCCTTCTGGCCTTAAAATCTATGAATTTATGAGCTTAATATTTTGCCTGTAGGAGGTTAAGAGTGTGCTGCTGAAAGGAGAGGGACTTCAAAAGGATTATGACCTGGAAAAATAGGCTTGATGACCAACTCATTCACACTGAGGCCACAGAAGACTGCTTATTCCACATGAAGTAAAGCATTTGGATCCTGTGGTCAAGATTTTCAAAGCTAAGTTCTAGGGGACTTAACCATACAACTTCCATTGAAACGAATAGGAGTCATGTAGTTAAATCTGCCAGCCAATTTAGAGAATAACAATCTGTCACTAGTCCTCAGAGGAAAAGCATCCTCTAGGATTTGTGTGTTTTCCATTGTGGTCCATGTGTATGTGTTAATTCCGCCATTTCAGTTTGGTGAAACATTTTATGTGTGAAACTCTATTTGATCTTCTTTCATACTATCCGAGACCATTACCGCAGCCACCCTATCAAGCAGAGAGAATGACCAGAGAACCTGTGCTTTATTTCCAGATGTTCTGTGAAACACAGAATGGATAAATATATTCCATTGACATAACAATAAAATTCACTATCACAGAATCATATATATGCTTTATACTGTACACAGTCATACCTTCTAGGGTCGTTTCAACTTGTCTTCTTATAAGGAAGGAAAATGTTTTGCGAGCAAATCAAGATGAACATTTTTTTTAAATCGCAGTCAAAAATTCATCTGTAAATCAACGTCGCAACCCAAAATGGAAAATCTAAGATTATTGTGTAACCCTTAAAAATAAATAGTAACCACAACCGTGATTGTCAGAAAGGTTTGGGGTGCAGTTCTGGGGAGGGGGAGCGGGAGAGCCCATATTGATGTCAGGAGAGGATCCTTTATTATAAAATAAATCTGAGACGGTCCAGTCTGAAGATAAAGCTCTGTGTTTAATCTGCATATAGACCCCCATCCTGTGGTGAGAAGAGTGCAGGTCAACACTTGTGCCCCATTGACTTCAGTGGGGCTCCATGGAGGTGCTGGTGTCTGCCTGTGTGCATTCCATGCAGGATCAGGACCATAATATGACAGTACATATAAAATCCATAGAGCACTTTGATTAGGGACCTCATCTAAGTATTTATAAATATTGTTTGATTTTAAGTGTTCACCAATGTAATGTTGACTCACCTATCTGCAGACAATCAGCAGGCTTCTCACCATATAATGGCTTTAACTTTATGAGATCTCAGTGAATGCACTTTGCGCTCTCTTGTGGCATAAGGTGGTAATGCAGTCTTGGTGGTAGAAATAGTGTGCAAATAATACTCGTGGAGAATGGATCTTCAAGCTAAGTATTCCATTTACAACGTCCATTGTCCCTGTTGTTGCTGGACACGTTTATGTGACAAGTGTTGGGGAGACTGAAAGAATAAGTTATTCCCTAGTAATTTAGGACTAGGAAGTCAAACTCAGATTGAAAAATATGTTATTCATATTCATAAAGGGACTCAGATCTTTTGGGAGCAGAGCAATCCTTGAGAGGTATGTACGGCACTGTAGAAGAGTGACGTTTGGGGGGGGGGCTTTTTTATTAATTGGTAAATGTCCACATTAATATAATGAATTTCGGTTGCAATTTTTTAAATAAAATTTTAAAAATAACATTTTAATTAACTGTAGTACAAAGATCTCCCCATCTGTCAGACAGCAAGAATGTTTGGGTGGCTTCTATCTATATCTTGGCTGTCAGCATTGGTTGGGTGGTCTAGTTCTCTGCCAAACAGCTAGGTAGGAAAAGAATTGTCTATCCTTTGCCCCAAATACCTCCGCTTTATGGGCCCTTGGTCCTTTCAGTCTTTCAGGATGTCCACGTGATGATATTTGTTGGGTTTGGTTTCTTAATGACCTTCCTGAAGAAATATGGATTCAGCAGTGTCGGTATCAACATGCTCATTGCTGCCCTTGGTCTCCAGTGGGGTACCCTGATGCAAGGATTTTGGCACATGAAGGAACAAAAAATTAATATTGGCATTGAAAGGTAAGTGTAACTCTCTCAAGCCCAATGGTGTTCCCAGTTAATTTAACACCCCAAATCCCCTGACTGCAATGGCTCATATATGTGTGTGTGTGTGGAGCAGTGTTAACAGGAGGCATTGAATGCTACCCACCCCATAATAGCCCAAAGCCTGGTGTTAGGATGCTCACCGAGGAAGGGAGCAGATTTGTATTCAAGTCCCCGATCCAGAGCAGGGATTCAAACCTCTGTCTTCCACATCCCAGACAAGTGCCCCAACCATAAGGCCAATGGTTTTGAGGAAGACACTTTTCTGAAGTTTGCCTTTTTCCGATTTGCTGACAAATTCCAAATATTTTTGGAGCCAAATATGTTTTCTGAGTTTTGTCCTGGCCAAACTCAAAATCAGTTATTCATCCAGCTCTAGTTAACATACCTTTATTCCATTCCAATAACCAGTTAACACTAACCCCCTCCCAACACCTACCCAGGCAAATCTATCCCTGATAACAAGGGGAGGGAGGCACATACAGAGGGAGTAGAATTTCAGAGCTGAGCTACACCATGTAACCCAAGAGGAGAATCTTACCCAGAACAAGGGAGTAACTCATCTTACAGTTGCCTTTGGAAACATCAGCAATGACAATAACAATTAGATAATAACAATCTTCTTGTGTGTCCTCAACTGCCTTGTTTCATCTGACTTTTTCTTTATGATTTCATTCTGCTTGGCAAGAACGCAGTCTGTGCATGTATGTAACCTTCCTTGGGACCCACTATTTGTCCCACAGCATGTGTTGGGCCCCATACTTTGAAACAGTCCTAAGGAGTTTTTTATGTACAATTAGCAGAACTGATATCTCACTCTTTGAGGGTTCTAGCTTGATGGATTGTGTTGATACAAGTTTGGGGATCCATTTAATTTCTCGTCAGATTAAACTGGTTTTTTTTGTTTTTGTTTTTCTTAAATATAGTATGATAAATGCAGACTTCAGTACAGCAACCGTCTTGATTTCATTTGGAGCTGTCCTGGGGAAAACAAGTCCAGTCCAGATGCTGATCATGACCATTCTGGAGATCACAATCTTTTCATGCAATGAACATCTTGTTGTGAACGTACTAAGGGTAGGAAATATACATTTACTGAGGAGGAAAAGCTACTATTATCTCCATTAGTTATAGCAAACAGTTCTCTGTGTGTGGAGAATTCTATTTCCCATTCATTTGCTCTGTCATAGGGTGAATCCAATCTCCCTCCTTGTTCGTCTTCACTTCTCCATCTGTCGTCTCCTCTCCAGATATCTCATTGCTTAGCTTCAAACTCAGATACTGCTTCATTGTGTGTAACACAGCTTTGTCTTCCTCAACTCGCTTGCCAATTCCTCTATCTTTGTCTTTGCTAACTCCTGGCTACAGCATAACTTGTGACTGCTGAATGCTTCAGAGTCCTCTCCTGAAGTCCCTCCTTTGGGTAAAAGGTGGTAGTAATATCTTGTATATGATTGACAAATGACTTTCCAAGAGAATGAAGAGCAGCTGACTTCTAGGTCTATAGGCATGATTCTGGTTTTCTGCATGAGAGAGCCCAGAGAGCTGCTTTGAAAATAATGGCATCATCTACTTTTGAGAGAGTCTCATGCCCACTATGAAAATTGCTCATCCAGATCTTTGGAGATCTCCTGACTTCTTTTCATTGTCTTTAGTTCAGACCTTTGCTCCCAAGACAAGAAATCTTTGAGTCATCCATTCCTGACACTAAACTATGTTTTTCCTCTTGTATCTCCCGTGTCTGTATATATCTGCCCAGGATCTCCTCTAGAACATTGTACTGCCTGGCTAACAGTTGGCAGATAATTCTCACAGCATATAATATATAAGGTAATTTAAAAAAAACCCAGAGACGTCATTCAAGCCACAGAACTCCAATCCAATCCCAGATTTCTAACAGGGAAAAATCTGAGGGTGCTCCGATCTGGAGTTTTGAGTCACTCACTAGTAAACGAGGAGCGACTTGAAATTTGGGACTGGGGTTGTGTGAACCCTCCCAAACTTTAGGGATGCTGGGGGCCAGAATTTAGGTTTGGGTCAATCTCTGTTAAACAACTGAACCGTGAAGCATTGTTAAAGATGGTCCCTAGAAAAGTGCCTTGTTTAAACGGTGGGTCAGAGTTACTGATCCCATTTTAATCCTTACTTGTGTCTTTCTGTAGTAGCCTGAACTTCTAACTCTGGTCTCCACCATAGAAGGTGCACAACCAGACCCATCCAAATTCCTCCTCTATTAGAATCCTACCCCCTCCCTGTTCCCAGTATGGATGGTGCCAGTTTTAGGATTCACATTTTTTCCCTGTTGCAGGCTACTGATACTGGAGCATCAATGACTATCCATGCTTTTGGAGCCTATTTTGGATTGGCTGCAGCACGAGTCTTGTATCGTCCTGGTCTGAAAGAGGGACATAAAAATGAAGAGTCAGCCTACCACTCGGACATGTTTGCCATGATTGGTAAGTAAGAGAAGTGGATTGTCAAAAGAATGGAGAGCATGGGTCAGCTGTTCCTTCCTGTTGCCGATACATTATAAATACACCGCTACCTCGATATAACACGAATTTGGATATAACACGGTAAAGCAGTGCTCCAGGGGGGTGGGGCTGCGCACTCCGGTGGATCAAAGCAAGTTCAATATAACACAGTTTCACCTATAACGCGGTAACATTTTTTGGCTCCCAAGGACAGCATTATATCGAGATAGAGGTGTACTACCATTGTTATATTAGAGACTTGTGTTTCTCTCCCTCCATGCAGCATGCTTCTTTTCTTCTGCTGCAGATGTGTTTTCAATGCAACCAAAAATGTTTTGGTTTTTCATTGAAAAAAAGAAAACAGAAAATTTCAGTGATGGTTCATTTTTTGCAAAAAATTTACTTTAGGGAAAAAAGTCAATTTTCTGTTAAAAAAAAAAAGGTTCAATGGAAAACTATCAACCAGTTCTAATTAATGAGTTAACAGCCTGCTAAGTAGGTACGTACTAGTATGACACTCATTTTACAGCTAGAGAAACTGAGACAGAAAGAGGTTACGGGCCAGATTCTGCCCCCTTTATTCATGTTGGGGAGCTTTCTCTGCAGGTTTCCCTAGAAGTTACTTTGGGAGTAACGTCCTACTCAGGGTGACTGAGCATTACAGAATCTTACTCTAAGTGACTTAAGCAGGGCTACACAGTGAGTCTTTGGAAGAACTAGCACTTGACCATCCTGAATTCCTGTCCACTTCACAGGAAGGTAATGGAGCTCACATGGGCTGGGGGGTTTCTTTTGTCTTCTCTTTCATCTCTGGTGTCAAAAGCTTCTGGGTAATAGTCCATCATTTTTCCAATCATCTAATCATTTCTTATTGCACTTCCCCATTCTCCTGCTCTTGGCTAGCTTGTTCTGCTAAATGGAGTATCTGACATTGAAAACCCTCCTGCGATTTAATGTTGTTGGGTTTTTTGCATTCATGCAGGTACCCTTTTCCTCTGGCTGTTTTGGCCGAGTTTTAACTCTGCCATTGCGCACCCTGATCTCCAGCAGAGAGCGATCATTAACACTTACTTTTCTATGGCTGCATGCACCCTCACAGCCTTTGCCCTCTCAAGCCTGGTCGAACACAGAGGCAAGTTGGATATGGTAAGAGTCACATCAAAATCCCATGTCTGCCATTAAATCTAGCGTAGAATTACAGTGACGGAGGGCTGTCAACGAATGGGCTGGTTCAGAAAATATAAGAGCTAGCTGGAGCCTTTGCTCCAAACTCAGACCAAACTAGGATCCTTGTTTATGGTTCAAAAAAGTTTAGGGTTGTAGTGTGTGTGTGTGTGTCCCACACTGTTCTGTGCATGTTTCCCCTCCCCCTCTAGTGGCTATGATCCATTGAGATTTATGTGTCTGCTACAGCTCCCAACTAGAGGATTTAGTCCATTGACTCAAGCTGTAGTACTGAAGGGCCAGGGATAAAACCCAACTGTTAGTCCAACTGGGGTTGGCTACAGGGGTGGGACATGTGGGAGGGGAAAGCAAGGACCACATTGGGGTCAGTAACAAAGACAGTCCCTCCTCATGCCCTCTAGGGGTACATGCCATCTCCACCAGCAGCCCCTTAGGCAGGAAGGCAGTTGGGGCCTGGGTCCACTCTGCACCATCCTATTCAAGTGTTCCCTCAAGTGATAGTTTGAGTTGGACTCTTTCCAGAGCAAAAAAGCCCCCCTCAGTTGGCTGGTGTTGGGCACTCCAGTGCCCTAGGCCAGCGCTACTGAGGGAGGGAACGGGGGCTCAAAGGGGCAAGCCACCTCCTCCCACATCCCTAAAACTTACCACTGGGGTGAGGGAGTGGCCGCGGTTCGATCCATACTGGAATGAGGAGTCGTGGTCCCTGCTGCTGTCCTTGTAGCTTTGGTGGGGCTGACCTTGAAGGAGTGGATGTCCTTCTCCCCCACAATGTCCTAGCTGATGGGAACAGGGAAGTCAGATCCTGGCTAGTCTCCCAACTACTGTTGCTGCTCCCTGAAGTGGGAGGATGTCTTTAAAGGATATCAGAGTGTGACCTCCCTCAAAGCTGTCCTGCCTGCTGGCTGGGTTGGGAAGATGCATAGGAACTGCCTCTGAAAATTAAGCAGCCTAATTAACTACCCATGTAGCCTACCCTTATGCCAATAGATGGATTTAGTGTGGATCCATGGATCTACATAACCAGTCCCTGTGTACAGAAGGGGACCCTACAGAGCAGTGATTGTGCTGTAGAATCAAAACCAGGCCTCTGCTGGTCGTAATTCATTCCTTGACTGCCTCAGTCTGACATCAGTGTATTGGAGATGCACTTTTAAGTTTCACTGATAAATACTTTACAATGTAAATATCACGTGAGAAGACAGATGAGGCTTGTGCTGTTAGTCATTCACATACAAACCTAGCCCCTCCATTCCCAGCTGTCTTCTTACTCTTCAGGGTTTTCTGTCCTGCACAGGTTCACATTCAAAATGCCACCCTAGCAGGAGGAGTAGCAGTGGGTTCCTGTGCCGACATGAGCATCTACCCATTTGGTGCTATGTTAATTGGTAGTATTGCTGGTGTCATCTCTGTCATCGGGTTCAAGTTCTTGACTGTAAGTATAAAATAAAGTAGAATATGCAGGACCTGATTCTGATCTCTCTTACACTGGCTTCACAGCACTGTAATTTCATTGATTTCACTGGAGTTACTCCTGATTTACTAGACAGAAAGCTCAGAATCAGGCCTGTACTGTATATAGAGACATCGAGACCTAGTCAGCGGACTACATGGAAGCCAATAGGACTAAAACATGTTCTTAATTGCTAACCTGAATAAGGATCCCAAACCCTGGGGAGATGAAGGGATTGGGTAGGCATTAGAGCTGGCTGAAACTCAGGATTTTCATTCCATAGGTTTCTAAATATAATTTCACCAAAATTGATACATCCGGTAGAAAGTTTTGATTTCAATGAAACAGCATTTTCCAACAGAAAAAAATTCCTTCGGAAAATTTTCAGCCAGCTTTAGGTGGCATGTAGATATCACTCAGCCCTCAACCTTCACATCCGTGGCTAAGTTGTTCAGAAGCATCATAGAGCAGCTGTGTTCTGTGCCATGATGCAGGTAATATTGGGATTCGCTCCTGCATAATTACTATAACCATGGTGGGGAAGTCCTCTGGGTTAAGATCAAATCCTTATCTATACATAGGGGACGGCGAATTGGGGCGACCGCTCAGGGCCCTGCACTTTGGGGGGCCCCACGGGCCGGTGCAATTGGCCAGCGCTGCATGGGCAGTGGGTGAACTGCTGGCTGGGGGATCCCCACCCCTTCTACCTGAGGGAGAGCATGCAACAGCATCGCTGCAGCCCCTCCAGCCCCGGAAAGGCAGGTGCCGTGGCCCCAACCCCCTGGAGCCCAGCGGTGCCACCTCCCCTACCCGTCCCCAGCGTGGTCGGTCCCAGAAGTCACTGGTCACTTCTGGCCAGGAAGTATCATCACTTCCATCCCAGGCCCCAAGCCCCCCGTAGGGACGGCCCTGGAAACATATTTTAGTATTTCATGTTCTCCCCCAGTTAATTTGCCTAGCAAAACTGGTCAATGAAACCTGTAGCCCATACCCTGACATGAAAGTGTATTTCTCTCTCCTTTTAGCCATTCTTTTCTTCTAAACTGAAAATTCATGACACGTGTGGAGTCCATAATTTACATGGTTTACCTGGATTACTGGGAGGTCTTGCAAGCATCATTGCCGCTGTGGCACACGTCAAATGGAGGTGAGTGAAAGAAGGTGGAAGTGAGGCTTCTTTAGTGAAGTTGCATTCTACTTTGTTTTCTTTCCATGTTTTATATGGAGTCCCTTGTTGCAGTATTGGATCTAGAATTACTCGACTATGAAACAAGGCAATTCCCAAGAATGCCTTTATTCCCCTTCACCACTTTACTGTGGGGATCAGACTGACTAAACTGAATCCTCTCCTGTAGCCCTGCATAAGAATTTTATATAATAGATTTCATACAGTTTATATTAAATATAAAACCCATGGGCCTGGTGTTCCCCTCGCTTATACCTTTTTTACATCCAGTTAACTCCATAGACTTCCATGTGGTTACTGCTGATTTACCCTGGTGTAAATGAGAGAGTATCAGGCACTGTCCTGTTGCAAACTTAATGTTGCAAGGTAAGTACTAAAAAGTCAGGAAGTGTCTATTCACAGCCGTACCTCTGCCCCTTAGGTGCATGTCCATTCAATGACAGTGATCTATCTGCATCTTTGAATCAGGTTTCCAGTGCAAATCCTTTGGATTGAAAATTTGAAATACATTTTTGGTCACTATTTTGAACAATCACTTAAAAAATTCTGTTTCAAGGAACAGAAAACCCATTTGTTAGAGAATTTGCACAGGAGAAACACGAAAGGAGCATGAACACTGATAGAGTGACCAGATAGCAAGTGTGAAAAATCAGGAAGGGGGTGGGGGTCAATAGGCGCCTATATAAGAAAAAGCCCCAAATATCGGGACTGTCCCTATAAAATCAGGACATTTGGTCACCCTAAACACTATTTCTTTTCAGAAGATGCCCCTCTGGTTTGATTTCATACCTTTTTAAATACTGCCTCGATTCTGCAGTTAAAACGTGATTCTTACTGGGGTGCCCAAATGTAAATATATTTTTTCCATGCCCAAATTGTCCAAAATTAGCAGCTTCTCTACATAAAGACATCACAGCTAATCACATACATGACACACCAGGTATAAGATTCACGGTCTTTGACACCAGAACTATAGGCCACTGCCAGTAACCTAAAAGAACAGCCTCACTAGTACACAACAGAGCTGTGCAAAATCCAGTGGGTCCTACAAGCCACTTCTTCCACTGCAGTCATAGCTTAGGCATTTTCAATGCAATCACACCTGCAAAGCCAAACATACCTAACAATTCAGAGTAAATCTGTCAACCCCCTGGTACATCTCAGAACCATAAAAGGGCCTTAGACTTGCTTGAATGCATGCTGTATTGAGCTATGTAACTGATATGATTTTCTGTATACTGCACCTTTAAACTTCTAGAAGCTTTCCTCTTTGCAGTCACTGGCAGCTATTTTGTATTTTATCCTGAATGGTCATAAATCATGAGATTGGTTTTAAAATAGTGAGATTTTTAAAAAACTGGGGAAGAGGCATTCTTTTTATTTGTCTTCTGGTTTCTGAACCTTTAGGGTGCACTCAGGTCACATTTTCATTCTTTTCTTTGCACCCACAAGAACTAGCAATGTAGGCCTTGTCTACACTACGGGGGGAGATCGATCGAAGTTACGCAACTTCAGCTACATGAATAATGTAGTTGAAGTTGACGTACTTAGATCTACTTACCGCGGGGTCCACACTACACTATGTCAACAGGAGACACTCTCCGGTTGACTCCCCTTGCACTTCTCATTCAGGCGAAGTGCAGGAGTCGACGGGAGAGTGATCTGCGGTCCATTTAGCGGGTCTTCACTAGACCCACTAAATCGACCGCCGATGCATCGATTGCCACACGTCGAACCCCTGGTAAGTGTAGACAAGCCCTTAGTTTTGTTTTCTAATGACAGAAGAGGTTCTCACGAATTCACCTGAATCTAGGATCCGCGGCCTGAATTGAAAAAACCTACTACAGCAATAAAATCACAATAGTTGACAGCACTGTTCACTGTGCTCCCTTTTTCTCTCATGGAAACCTTACATGAAAATATAGCATTCAGTAAACCTCTCAACTAGTCTGTGCCACGCTCTGAATTTGAAACAAAACCCAAAGTGAATAAATTTTACATGGTTTCAATTTTTGTGATGAAAGCACAGCTCTCCTGCAGATGAACTTCCCTAAAAATCGCACCCATACAGTAGGGGATGATAATAAACATGTGTATAAGCTAGCAGAATACCAGCTCTGGAAACGCAGTGGTATTTTAATATTTTGTCATTTGCCTTTTTCTCGTTTTCAGGGAGACTGACTCTCCTTCTGCTCCCATGCAGGCTGCTGCCCTGGGTTGTACCATTGGGATTGCTTTGGTAGGAGGAGCATTTGCAGGTTAGTAAGATGCAAACAGCACCCAAATGCAGGTCCAAAAGATGCAAACTATAGAGACATCCTCAGGTAGCACTTTGTGGTGCAAACAATGTCAACCAAAAAAACAGATTGATAGCTTTAAAGGCCAGAAGGGACCACTATAACTATCTAGTCTGACTTCCTGCACAACCTTACCCACTGCTAAACCTTCAATAAAGAATTTTAAAATAAGGATCACATTGGGCATCTTCTTGTTTTATTGAAGCTGTTGCCCTTGATATATGTCACTTAGCAGTTGGGTTATTTTTTTTTATCCATAATTAAGGAAACTTCAATAAAATAAAAGTTTGGAACAGTGAATAATTTAATAGCTATCTATTTATATGCCAGTGGGTATAAATCAGATAGGTTAAGGAAACAGTTTTAGACTGGAATGCCCGACCATGTAGCTGGATACTCACAGAGAATCTACACAGGCATAAGGATCTGATTGTGGAATTGTAATAAAAGCTTCTGGTTTGTTTTCCAGTATATCTGTGGGTGCTCAATAGGAGACACGTAACATATTGTCTCCAAACCACCAACACTTTTAAGAAATCCTGCATGGAAATCCAAGAATCAGGCAGCAAGCTTATATGTATATATGATCTTAAAAAACAAAAACCTATGCTGTAAAAAAGGTTAAGGTTACAAAGTGAAGTACTCAGATATTAAGAAATGGCAGAATTAATTAATTATACTTATATACTTAATTAATGACGTACACTTCACACTTCACCCGCAATGGGGTGGGAAGTATAAGAAGTAGTGGGAGGGTCAGGACAGGAGCTGGGGTGGGTGAGAAGGGAGAATAGAAGCAGAGATGGACAGGGACAGGCTGGTGGAGGGCTGGGACAGAAGGCTCTGTAGTCACTAGTGAACACTTCTCCCCAGAAGCTGGAATTGAACCCAGAATTCCTGAGTCTCAGGTAGGTACTGTATGGGGATGGACCATGCTCAGTAAATATGAACCGTTCAGAGAAGTTAACTGCCAGCCTCTACTAAACCTGTGCATACTGATTTTTTCAAAGGCTTAGAATTTGACCAAATTTCAGCTGATTGTCACAAGCACAGCCAAAGGCACGTCCCTAACACCAGGGCAACCGCATGCCAAATTTCAAACATGGAGGGCTAGAACTTCTCAATGAAACCACTGTAAGAATTCTTTAACCTGGGGGGGAAGGGAATAAACGTATTTTTCCCTAACCTTATTTTCAGAAATGGCGTGAGCCCTTTTAGCTGATACTTTCCAAAAAAAGATTTAGCCCGAGGCAGACCCGCAGCATGGAAAAGTTCAGTCCAAACGGTTTATGTTTGGAAAAGCTATAAGCAACTGAAATTAGGGTCTTATAATGGAAAGTGTTAACCTGCACTGCCTAGACTATTGAGTGGCTTGATGGTATAGGGGCTGATTCTTTATGATGCTGGATGTTTCTGAAAGGAAGTCAGTACCTCTCCAGAAGTACAAAATCAGAGATGTAGATAGGGCCATAGGACAAAGGCCATGCTTCCCCCTCCCAGGCTATCTCTTATGCATCTGTTATGGCAGGTTTGAGTATTGTAGTTGACCGTATTTTCTCTCCTGCAGGTTTAGTTCTAAACTTGCCTTTCTTGGGACAAGCACCTGATGAGAACTGCTACGACGACTCAGTTTACTGGGAGGTAGGATATAACCGTGGAGTAATCCGACCATCAGGAAGTGCAGCTTTCATTGCCTTTTATTAGAAGATTACAACACAACGCAATTCTGTTTTCCTAGTAGGAGAGGGAGGATTTGTTGAATCTTTGTTAAGCTGGGGACTCACTTACACATGGGAGCCAGCCTTCAAAAATCCTGCCTAATCTCAGGTTTAGGATTTCTCAGGCTCGCCTCCAAAATCACAAGACTTTCAGTGCTACAGCTGTGAAAGTGAATGGAGGAGGAATAGAGAGTGGGCCCTCTATAGGCAGGCTGCAAAGGAGACAGCTCTTGAAATCCATTTCATTGCACATCAGGAGATGGTTATTGCTCATGGTTTTAAAAAACAAACTCTTTTTTTTTTCATATGATAAAGAGAAACCTTGGGGACAGGACTGCGGGGGAGAGGGGAGCCAGGATGAAAATCTCAGGCTTTGCAGTGTAGGTGCAAGGAAGGTCTCGTAGTAAAGGCACTCTGCTAGGACTCATCAGATCTCAGTTCACTTCCTGGCTCTACCTTTGTAACACTGGGGAAGTCATTAACTGCCTGTATACCCCAGTACCCCATCTGTAAAATGAGGATAATGTGAAAGTCACTTTACTTTTTCTGTCTGGTCTATTTCGATGGTAGGTGCTTCAGGGCAAGGACAGACTCTTACTATGGGTTTGTACAGCACCTAGCGCAATGGGGCCTTGATCTCAATTAAGGCCTCTTGGCACTGGAATCTCACAAACAACAATAGGCACCATGTCCTCCCAAGTCAAGAGTACATCAAAGACCACAGTTAGCGTTCAAAGAGAAGGGTTTAGGCACCAGGAGGCTTCTGGCCCCTTAGAAGGTGGCTTTGTCTTCAGCCTGTCATGCTCTGGTCATGAGCATTTGTCAGAGCTAAGGTCTCCAGTAAGTTATATTGTGGGGAGAGGGGAGCACCAGCAAACTCAGATGAAAAATGTGCTGGAAGAAGAGAGAAATACCTGAATGTTGTGTGTTAGTGTGAGCCCGTAAAGTGCAATGTCAGAGGAGGTAAGTGAGGTAAGTTCTGTGGGAAGTAAAGGCATCTCTATACAATGGGCGGTAGAGTGGCACAGCTCCACTGCTGTAGCCCCGTAGAGTGGATGTTTCTTAGACCAGTGGGCAGGGTTTTCCCATCTCCCCATCCCCGAGTGGCAGTAGCTTGGTTGATGGAAGAATTCTTCCATCAATCTACACTTGTCTACACCATGGGCTACACTGGCTTAACTACAACATGCAGGGGGTGAATTTTTTACACCCCTGAGCGATGTAGCTAGGACAATCTGTCTTTTAAGACCAGGCCTAAACTGTTTGCACTGTATGTGAATCATGGCTCTTTACTTGATGGGAGGAGGAGAATGCAGTAATGCACTGGGAAATACAAACTACTCCAGTGTTAGAAATGCAACTTGGTTGATCCAGTGGCCAAGGGAAGCTTCCTGCCTAAGGGGCAGCTGTGATCAAAAAGGATAGCGTCTGGGGTGAGTGGCCAGACGCATGGATCCTGTTGAGAGCTCTGCAACTGATTCTGTCTGATCTTGGGGAAATCATGCAGAAGTTCCAGAAATGCGTGTCCGTAATAGAAATATTTAACAACAACAATTAGAGTGAGCGGAAAAGTTTTGAAGTGTTGATGAAAGATTCACAAAGAAACTCAGCATTATTTTAACAACAAATACAGGTCTGCTCACCTCACCACCACAGAGTCCTACTAGAGCCAGTGAATCTACTTGCGTAAGATACCATGACACTAATTAGCCCATGACTGTAATAGAGCCTGGTATTTTGATAGGAGCTTAAGGGAGTTTGGCATCCAACTCCTGTTGAAGTTCAGTGGGAATTAGGCACCGATCTCCTTTAGGCTTTTTTGAAAATCACAGATGGAGTCTTTATGCTATATAGATGGTTATAGCACATGTTATTAAATCCTTCCTTTGGCATGGCTTTGAGTCAGTTCCAGTTTAAAAAGACAGTAAATAACGCATCATTGCTGATTTTAGTACAGGCATACATGGCAGGCTAGGTCATCTTGTTAATAATGAAATGCATGAGCCAGATCTGGGAACTTCAGTACATGATGCCTGATGCAACATCGCAAACTGTGATCACTCTGGGTGGCACAGCAGTCCTTAGTAGACTATGCATGTTTGACAATTGATATAAGTAGAAAGAATCAGATCTGTAACTTCTAGGGGGAAAACAAGCCAAATATCACGATGTGGCATTAACCTCTTGTCTGGTTTTCATGCTAGGTTCCAGCAGAAGAGAGCCAACCTGCTGGTCAGTTCAGTGACGCTGGGGATCACAGAACAGTCAACCTCAATGTGTAGGATGAATTCTCCATCATTAATTCCTGTCCTAGTGGTGCTGTTTCCAGTTTCTAATTGAAAGAGACAATATCTAAATATCATCTACACCACTCATTGTTTTCAATACGTAAAGGCAGGTGTAGATAGCTGTGTTCTTTTTCAAACCCAAACAAACTTTATTTCGAATGTCATCACTGACAAATGTGATACACACAATGCAAACGCATTTGAGGATCCTCGATATACATTTTATTTTTCTAACCTGAAAGATGCTAACTGATATGCAGTATTCTTTGTATTTTAACCATCCGTCATCACTGAGGTTGTTTTAACATACAGATTTCCTATCTATGTGTTTCTAATGTGCCTTTCACCCTGGTACCATATTTGACTGCAAAATTTCAGATTTGGGAATGTTTCTTTTTACACATTGAACATGCTGAATCACAAAAGACTTAAAAACATACCCTTTAAGCTACTAGGTGGAATCAATTAGAGGCTGAAGGGGATCAGTTAGTGTAGATTATTTAGATTGCCAAAAGGTTTTTCACTAAAATGTCCTTAAATTGTAGCAAGGGAGGTTTACATTGGACATTAGGAAAAACTTCCTAACTGTCAGAGTGGTTCAGCACTGGAATAAATTGCCTAGAGAGGTTGTGGAATCTCCATCATTGGGGATTTTTAAGAGCAGGTTCGACAAACACCCGTCAGGGATAGTGTAGATAATACTTAGTCCTGCCATGAGTGCAGGGGAGTGGACTAGATGAACTCTCGAGGTCCCTACCAGTCCTATGAGTCTATGAAACCTTCCTTACCTCACTCTGGGTCAAGAGATGAATCCTGCCATGGATTAAAAACTGGATAAGTGACAGGAATCAAAGTATTGGGAATTTATAGCTAATTCTAAGTATGAACAATGGGTAACAGTGAGATATCTCAGGCAGCAGTACAATAATCAGGTTGTGATGCTGGCAGAGCAGGTGCCAGCTCTTTTCAAGACTTCAGGCATTAGCTAAGAACTGACAAACTCATAGCTGGAGACCAGATCATTTCACCTGTATGTTAGCTTTGTTCAAAATAGGTGTTACTCAGATAAGAATGTTTTTAGTGTTTAGACTCTATGAAATGCTTCTAAGTTGCTGCATGCCTTAATCTCACGCATAATGTCTATATTCCAGGCTATAAGAAAATATGTAAGTTTTGCTTTGTAACTTTGAAAATGTTTGCTCTGAATTTGTGAACCCCTGCAAGGGAATTCCCCCTCCCCCAGCCCATCCAGGAGAGCTATCAAAATTTAAGTGGGCCATTATACCACTTTGTTAATTGCCCCATCCACCCCTGGAGAAGTACATGCAGAAGGACTTGCCCCATCCCTTTGAATGCTGGAAGAGGGAAATAAAAGTACTGGGCATGAAGATTTTTCCTCCCTTTTGCTATTTGAAATCTCAAAGGGCCAGAGAAACCAAACTGAAGCTGGAGCTCCCCAGGGCTTACCTCCTGGGTCCGCCCTGAAAGACACTTTGAATTGACAGATCACTGCAACTCTGTCACTCTTAGGATCTAGATGGTAACTCATTTGCTTGTATGTGTTTGCTTACTTTAACCCGTAAATAGTGCTCTTCTTTCTTTTTCCTAGTTAATAAACCTTTAGATCGTTTACTACAGGATTGGCTACAGGCATGGTCTTTGGTGTAAGATCTAGAGTACCAATTGATCTAGGGCAAGTGACTGGTCTCTTGGGACTGTTTGTTGGCATCCTTTCGTCTGCGAGAGATGGTGGGAATTGCTGCCTTGATGTGGATGGTTTGCAATGTCTCATGTGACTGAATAGTCCAATCCAAGATTTGCATGATCCTTGGCAGTTATCGCAAATGTCTGTATCTTGGTTGGGAACTGCTTGCTTCCTACCGGCTCTTTTCTTTTCTTGGGACTGGAGGCAACCTAAATGTGGTCTGAGTTTTGGTGTAAGTAATCATTTTATCACAAAGTCTAATTTGTCTGGGTCACAAAACAGACTGGAGAGTCTAAGGGGACTCTGTGTAACTCCATGGTAAGACTGGTATAGAGATCCAGGAGTTCACAATTGTCCCTGGCTTGGTGAAATCTAATTTATAGAACACACCACCAGTTTGGGGTGTCTTCCCTGTTTCCTGATAGTCTGCCCTGAGGTCAGGGCCGCCGAGAGCGGGTTCGGGCCCCCCAGCAAAGGCGGACCGGCTAAACAGGGCCGACGAGAGCGGGGGGAAGCCAGGGAAGCCGGGCCCCGGGCCCCCTTCCAGACCGCCGGGCCCCGGTAAGGCAACGAGGGGGGGGGAAGCCGGGCCCCAGGCTCCCTTCCGGACCGCCGGGCCCCGGTAATTTGTACCGGCTCCTCCCCCCCCCCTTGTCGGCCCTGCCTGAGGTAGCCACTCACAGTTATGAGAACTCCAGACAGCCTGACAATTGGCATAGTCTTGGCAGGATTCACTTGCCACAGGTCCACTGAGTTGACCTGTTAAAAGTTTAAATTTGATGGAGAGTTTTAAGGGTTAAAGATTAGTCACAATGAGTGAATCGCCATCATATGAGGGCCTTGACACAAAAGACCTTGAAAAAATTAGGTAAAAATAGGGGAATATCCCATAAAAAGAAAGCCTCGGATGAGGAACTGAGAGCTTTGCACATAGACTTTGACCAAGCAGCAGGGTTTGAGCACCCCTTACCTCAGCTGCCGCAGAGATTGCTGCAATGGAACTGGTTCGGCGAAAGCTCCTGGAAGCCCAGAAAGAACATGAGCACCACATACTGATGGTGGAACTCCAGCTCAAGAAGAATGAAACCAAGGAGTCTGAGAAGAGGGCCTACCAAAGACACAAAGCCACCACTGAAATTCAGGAGGAAGCTCACATAAGACACATTGAACAACTAGGAGCTGAGGAAAGAGCACCATAGAAACAGAGGGAAGCTCACACGTTGCAGCTCAATGTCCTGGAGCAGCACAAGGAGCAGCTTCGGACCGTGAGCACATCCCCTTTCACCAGAAAAAAGAACAGGAGTCCTTATGGCACCTTAGAGACTAACAAATTTATTTGAGCATAAGCTTTCATGGGCTACAGCCCACTTCATCGGATGCATAGAATGGAACACACAGACAGAAGATATTTATACATACAGAGAACATGAAAAGGTGGGAGTAACCATACCAACTGTAAGAGGCCAATCAATTGAGACGAGCTATCATCAGCAGGAGAGAGAAAAAAACCTTTGAAGTGATAATCGAGATGACCCATAGAAGGTGTGAGGATATTGTAACATGAGGAAATAGATTCAATTAGTGTAATGACCCAACCATTCCCAGTCTCTCTTCAAACCTAAGTTAATTGTATCTAATTTGCATAGTAATTCAAGTTCAGCAGTCTCTCTTTGGAGTCTGTTTTTGAAGTTTTTTTGTTGCAAAATTGCCACCTTCAGGTCTGTCACTGAGTGGTTAGAGAGGTTGAAGTGTTCTCCCACTGGTTTTTGAATGTTATGATTCCTGATGTCAGATTTGTGTCGATTTATTCTTTTGCGTAGAGACTGTCCGGTTTGGCCAATGTATATGGCAGAGGGGCATTGCTGGCACATGATGGCATATATCACGTTGGTAGATGTGCAGGTGAATGAGCCCCAGTCTCTACGCAAAAGAATAAATCGACACAAATCTTAGTCTCTAAGGTGCCGCAAGTACTCCTGTTCTTATTTGCGGATACAGACTAACACGGCTGCTACTCTGAAACCTTTCACCAGAAAGGAGTGGGAGAAAGCCTGTCCAATTTATCAAGAGACTGACTGCACTGAGGAATAACTGTCCATCTTTGAGAGACTGTGTGGGATCCACAAGATCCCAGAGAATAAAGAGGTGCCTATCTTCTTAACCAAGTTGACTGGGAAAGCCAGACAGCGTGATGTAGGTTTTTTTTTTTTTCAAGATAGCATTTATTAATGACCCGGAGAAAAAGTGAATAGTAAAGTGACAAAATTTTTATTGGTGCTAAATTATTTAGGTTAATCCAGTCAAGGCAGGATTTGATGAGCCAGTCCAGAAGGACCTACCAAAACTAGGTAACCAGTATATACAAGTGAAAGATACCATACATTGGAAGGAAAAACTGAAGCCTATTCAAGTACATTGACTGGTTCTGAGCTAAGCGCTATCTCAATAAAGAGTTACCATTAAGGAACTGTACCATTAAGGAAAGGTCAGTAAGGACATTTGTTCAAATCACAGCAGAATCAGAGGCAGAATATTAGAATGTCAGTATGTTATGCCGCCTCCTCTGGGGACACACCACATCTCGAAAGACAGAGAAGGAAAAGTGGCGAGAATATCAACAAAAATTAAAATCAGAAGCATTCACAAAATTCCCTATGAAAAGAGGTGCATAAAGTAATAGCTCGGAGAAGATCAGCTCCTGTTCACCATGTGTCATAGTCCAGTGACAAGAGGGTTCCATGATGAACCAGAAAAGAAACTAATTTAAAAAGAAGAGGAATTGTGTAAGATTAACCTATGGAACTCATTCCTTCAAGCTACAGGTCTGACAAATAGCGGTACCAGAAAGATTTGGAAAAGGTTAAAGCATGAAATTACATCGACCATTTTCACCTTGTTTTAGGGCTTGCCTCTGAAGGTTGGGGAGAAAATGCCCTCTATAATGTAGAATTACATAAAGTAAATATCCCATTGGAGGTTTTACATGTTCTTCTGAAGTATCCAGCATTGAACAACGTAAAACAGGAGACTGGGCTAGGCAGACCGATATGGCAAATCCTATGTGTACTGTTTTACATAGAAGCTTTTATCTCTGAATGAATGCCTGTTTGTTGTAACACATTTTATACTATTTTCAGAAACACAGAAATGTTCACTTTTGTAGCTGTTCCAGGTCCCACATTTTATTCCTTTGTTGATTGGATGAAATACACTGATGAACATGTAAAGATCTTATCAATATTCTGTGCATACTTTAGAAACACAAAGTGGCCATTACAAAAAAAAGGCATGAGAGTAAAGCCAAAGCTTTACTGATAAAGATCCCAAATGTAGGCCAGTTCTGGAAATCATACACACAATGGATTAAATTAATCTCTGTGCAGAGAGACAGCTGCCACTTAAGATTCATTTAGACCCTGTTTTGAGGATTTAAGTAGGACTTAGGCTTTGCCTACACTGGACGTTCGTCTGTAAAACTTTTTTCATTCAAGGGTGTGAAAAAACCACACCCTGAATGACAAAAGTTTTACCGATGACAAGCGCCGGTATGAACAGCGCTTTGTCGTCAGGAGAGCTCTCCCGCCAACAAAGCTACCGCCGCTCGTTGGGGGTGGAATTTTTTTGTCGGTAGGAGAGCTGTCCCCACCGACAAAGAGTGACTATACTGTGCATCTTTTAGCGCAGGGGTCGGCAACCTTTCAGAAGTGGTGTGCCGAGTCTTCATTTATTCACTCAAATTTAAGGTTTCGTGTGCCAGTAATACATTTTAACGTTTTTAGAAGGTCTCTTTCTATAAGTCTATAATATATAACTAAACTATTGTTGTATGTAAAGTAAATAAGGTTTTTAAAATGTTTAAGAAGCTTCATTTAAAATTTAATTAAAATGCAGAGCCCCCCGGACC